ATGGCAAAGCTTGAAATTTCATCATCATTACTCCAGTCTTCAGTGTCACATGATCCTTCAGAAATCATTCTAATATGCTGATTTGGTGCTGAAGAAAAATTTCTTATCATCAATGTTGAAAATAATTGTGCTGCTTTAATATTTTATATTTGTTTGAGATTCTTTTAAGGACGTGTATTTGCATCCTCCTTTATCGTGTAGATTTTTCCATTTGGCTTTAACCTCCCATACTGCACAGCATACAACAATAAATTGATAATTGATAAATAAATGATGGTCCTACACCAGAAACACAAACTATCTATTATGCTTTGGAATTGTTTTTGACCAAATACATCATAAAATCACAGATGAGTAACAAATGTCAAGCTACACTTCTCAATTTATGAGATTTTTACTATGTTTTTGCTCAAAACCCACTTCAAACCATCATCGAATGCTTGTAATAACTAACGCTTATGATCTAAAGTTCTTTTTGACCATATAATGGACAGACATGTATTAGTTGTAGTGTTTTATAATGGACTGAATGTTCCGGTACACATACTTACCATTTCTCATGTAAACATATTTTATGGTTATAAAAATAGCCTGAACCGCATGACAAACACAAACAGAACATATAACTTGGAAATCAGCGCTCTGTACGCTGTTTCAAGCTCATCATATTGCATAATTCAAGGGGAAATTAATAGAAATGATATACTGTATAAAGAACATGTGATAATAAATCTGTTCTCAGACACCAGTGATAACAAGAACTCAACATCCATTCTCTTCTCTCTTAAAGAACAACTTTCTTGTGTGTTTACACTGGTTTTCAAAACAGCACCACCAATCTGGACCAGCGGCTCCGGGCATGTGATCTCAAAGTCCCCTTGTAGTCAATCATTTTATCCCTTAAAACTCATCTATGATCACTAAAATGACATTTAAATGTTGTTTCCTTAAAAAATAAAAATAAATCGCTTAAAATTGCTTGAATGTAACTCTACACCCTTGCCTCGTTTAGTGTACGCGGTTCTATGAATATGCAAATTAACCCCACCTCAACTCACTCACACCAGCTCAGAGATTCACTCGTTGACGTGATTGGTTACAAGGTAGTTTGTGATGTCAGAATTCACCAGCGATTTCAAACTGGGTTTTTGAGACGGTCTTTGGTTCACTGTAGTTTTAGGGAGAAAATAGTCTGCAATGGTGTTGACTGTGAATGAACACTGAATTTGCACATGGTTTGTCTTAACCCTCTGGGGTCCGAGGTGTTTTTGGGGTCCTTGAGATGTTTTGACATACTCTGACATTTGTGCTTTTTTCAGTTGCTTATAAACGTATTACTGGCAAAGGTGTAATTACACTCTATTTAGCACAAACAGGGCTACCATAATATGTTATCAACATGTATGTACATGTTTGTATTCTTGAGAGAATATTGTTTATGCGTGGTTATTGAAAAAACTAAAACTTAAAGTTTCTGAAATAAGGCCACAAAACACATACTAAATATCTGTCCACAAGACTTTTGACTAATGGATGTGCTCGCCTAGAGTTTTTTCTTCAAAATGATCTGAAAATCATCCTGCCTTATCATTCACATAAAACAATAGATTGGTTTAAATTTAAAAATGACACTTTTTGTTTGGAAAGGCAATATGCGCAGGGGTGTGACCTGCTGTGATTCACACCTGAGAAGACAATGGGCCCGCATAATGAGCGCATAATGGCGCTGCATACTAATGACATATTTTATCATACATATTTCACAGTTGCGGATTAATTAGTTTGAATATAGCCTACAATCGAACAAACACTATAATAACATCTTAGCAAACAAGCTTATTTGATGTGGCAGTATTTTACAGTAAAAACGACATCTTGTCTTTCATATGTAACATATCGTTTTTATGATTAGGACATATAAATGTTAATTTGCAGTTTAATACGTTGCTTATACAAAAATATTTTATTTCAACATATTTCAGTCGATTTTTACTCATCTCAGTATTGGAATATAGTTAGGTAAAAGCTGTTCATTCATTCACACACAAAAACGCGATTCAAACAGTCTTTTTGTTTACAGACACTATTCCATATCGCGATTAGCACGCACAAAGCACTTGAAAATAAAGAATGTACCTATTTCCTCGGCTGGATCCGTTGCTCCTCCAAATGAAACTACCTGTAGCCAACTTCTGAGGTAATTTTTTCCAGGATTATTATTAAGATAGTATTATTCCTCACAGCGTCGTAAATATGAGTCTCTTTTGGTGGGTTATCCAGCTGATGTGGGCGTGGATCGCCTCAGAGCATTTGTGTTTGAATAGAGCGCGCGCTCCGTGGGCGTGGTCAAATTAACTTTAATGAGCTGAGACGAGAACGACTATCATCTCTCTCTTTTCGTACAGATTACATAAAATGAGAAAATTTGTTTTTTATATAAATTACTTCATTTAAAAGAAGATAATTCAGCCTTCATGCCTGTGTGCCTGTATACTTGTTTGACTGAGTATTTGCAGAGTTACAGTTAATTTTTCGGACGCGTTTCAGAATGGACTTCACTGACAGAGAGAACGCAGAACGCGCATCATGTTTATTTTTCTTTATTAGGCGAAAAGCACAACACTTTGTTTTTATTATGAGGTTCCACAAAAAAAATACAAACTTAACAGGATCGAATGATGTACAACACTTATATGTAAGATCAAAATCAACAGAGTAATTTGAGTCTCTTTTGCACTGATAAGGAAAAAAGTGAGCTGGTATCGCCGGCGAGACCGCCGACCCCAGAGGGTTAAAGCACATTAAAAACACCACATATACATATAAACAACATTTTAAAAGCTTGATTTTCACCACAGGGGGACTTTAAGCTCAAATCTAATTGAATGGCCAGTTTCATCTAGGGTGACAGAGAAAAAAAAATCGATTCAATTGAATGAGCCTGGAGTGAATAGCTCCATAGGGATCTATTTTTTCAATACAAGAGCGACATCGCGTTGTACATTCGCGTCGCGCAATCGTGATCAGTGCAAAAGGCCCAAAAATACAGTAATTTTTGAATACATGCGAGTGTATGAAATTTAATCAATTATTTTCAAAAAAGTTTTTAAATATATTTAAGGTATAAAAAAAACATATAAATTAGTGTTTTTTTTCATTATGATATTAGAGACATTTTACCTCTAATGAGACATTAGAGCCTTTAGAGACATTTTACACAAAAAAAAAATCTAAATGGATTCAGAAATGAAAAACACACTTATCATAGATGGTGTTTTAATATCTCTGCATAAATAATAGAAAATGAGTTCCATGTCATTGATCCTAAAAACACTATATCGCAATGACCTGGCAGCCACCCAGGTTTACTTACTAGTTTGTCGTTCCACATAAAAGATGACAGACATTTAGCCTTTGCCTTGAAGTGAATTTTTCCATGATAATGTATGTGGTGTTTTGGTGTGTTGCCTCTTCACTCCTCTAAAATAACATCTAGAAGCAAACTGTCTGTTACTGAGTGTCTGCTAGAATTATACCAGACTAATAAATGACCTTTGAGAAAGCACTGAGCTTGAAAAGAAAAGGATGGAGAATATGAGGAAGAGGAAAAAGGTGTATTTGACGTTGAAGTGTGTGTGTGTGTGAGAGAGAGAGAGAGGGCTGGACAAAAGGGGCTGTTAGAACGAGGTGGTTAATTGTTCACTTTGGGATGGCATCTTGTCAGCAGAGATAAGTTGTCACGTTTTCCACTTGAGCTGAGACTAAACGATTGTAAAATAAGTTACGGCCGTCCTTGGGGCTGTGTGCTGATGCAGGGCGCTGGGAGCATGCTCAGTGCCAGCCTGAACACCCCCCTGGCCCCTCCCCACATCAGCTCTTTCACTCGGCCTGAAATTGATGTGAACTGAATGTTATTTTATTCTGCCGCTAGTCACAGCTGTCAGTGCCGCTTATGAAAAGTGAAGCAGCCTCTCTGATAGCCTGAGCTGCAGGATCCAGCCAAACGCCAGTCAGAACTGGCCTCACGAACACGGGTGCTCGATCATTTAAACCAGAGTAGACACCACGGAATGTTCTACACTCTAAAAAAGGGTCTGTGAAAATAGGGCCCAATGTACGGTTAATTTGAAGGAATTTTCACAGGTGCTTTTTCTGTATTTTGAATGACGCATTGCATTGTGTTTTAGGTTTAACCCTCTGCGGTCTTAGGTGTTTGTTTTTTTGGACCCTGGAGGTGTTTTGACTATTGTGCTCGTTTCAGTTACTTATACCATTTTCTTGGCTATAGTCTGATTTGTAAACTTAACAGAAATTTTTTTTCTATAGTTATATAAATAACTATAGAATAATATAATTCTATAGAAATATAAGTATTTCTAAGTTTTTCTATAGATTGTTCTTACAGTGCGTACATGTGTGGCAGAGTTGCATTCTGAATAAAATAGAGATCACGATTCTGAATAGACATCTAAACAAAATAACAGGTAATTTACTTGAGGTTCTGACAAATGTTAACTGCTGCAGTCTATTTAAAATATTTAATTTGAATTATTTAAAAGAAAAATCTGTTTAAATGAATGATTCAATGACTCACTCAAAGACTTTACTTGTTTAATTTCTGGATAAATTAGCGTTTTTTAATGAATCTTTTGAATGAACGATTCAATGACAAATGCATTTTTTTCACCTTCTGGTGTAACAAATTTACTCTGTTTTGATCACTACTGTAGACATCATTGTTTATATCCAAACTATAAACTTTTATCCCAGTAATCTGTGATCATTTGAGTTATTGTAACAGAAATTTTGATACTGTGTGTGGTTTAAAAAATGTTTCATACCATGACAACTGCTCTCTGGGTCAGCGGCAGCGCCAACGCAGATTTAAATGTTCTGCTGTTATTGTACTTGTCAAAGTACTCTTTTAACGATGAATCGTGCAGCTCTAGTGTGTGGTAAAATAGGGCTGAACGTCAGTCTCTCTCTCTCTGTGTGTGCAGATACCAGTATGGGAGATTCTGTGTGCTCCAGCCCTAGCATATCCAGTACCACCAGTCCAAAGATAGATCCGCCCCCATCGCCACACGCCAACCGCAAAAAACACAGGAGGAAGAAGAGTACCAGTAACTTCAAGGTGGACGGCTTCTCTGGAACTGCAGAAGGTACTTCCTGTCTCTGTCCCACACAGTCTGGTCTTTTGGTCTGCACATTCAGCTGTAAAGCACTGGTTCTTAAATGGTCTTTAAACATTCTCCTGTATATTTGGCTGAGCTTCTGCAGTGCCATTGATATTTTACAGGGGGGGTCAAATGAGGGTGAGTGTGCTTTGTGAGAAAACATTGCAAAAAGTCCACGCTGAAATATTTGGATTTTAAAAGCTATTTAAACCTGGAAACACATGGAAAATTGTCAGGTCAATAATCAAATTAGCATTGGCAGGATGCCAGAATTTCAGTAGTCAGTAACAGTACCTGTGAAATTTAATAAGCAATTAACACACACTATTTGACTATTTAGCTTTTTTAAGTATTTTAAAGTTAATCATTATAAATAAATATTAATTAATAATTCAAATAAACACATTAAATGCATGACATGCAGCCTTTTTGTTTAAGCATTGCTTGAAAACAAGTATAGACATGTGAAAAGTAATTGATAAAACCTTTGCAAGCAATCGTACGCAGTTATTGATGTTTTTCATTTTCTTACTGTAGAGGGTTATTAAAGCTGCTAAAACTATCCAGACAAGAACCGTAACCGTTATATTTATTTTATTTTATTATAAAACTATCAAGAAGTAACTCTCAAAGCTATTTTAATATAAAATTGTTGGTCCTCTGTCCTTTTGACATCACTAAGATAAATACAAGTAACTTTTTAATTTGTAAAATTGACCACATGAACTCCTATAAACAAACGGTCAGAAATCCAGCCCTTCTCTTTGAAGCATTTCTTAAATCACGCTGGATAACATCTTTAATTTTTACTAAACATGTTGAGATCATGCCATTTGAATACTGTCATAAAAGCAAAACGGGGACAAACCAAAAATTCTGAATTTCAAGTTAATTCATGTACTTTTTCATTCAAATACTGAGTAAATAATAACATTCACATGCGGACAATTTGTACCATATATAGATTCAGTACTTTTCATTAGAATCAAAGAAGCCTTCCCATATACCATCATGTATAAAAGCACATATGCTGCATACACTGCTGCTGTCGCACACACACAAACGCAAGTGAGCACACACTGTCATGCAGTGAAGTTGCAGTCGAACAGATGTTTCTGAGCAGCAGATGTGTAATATGTTTCCTGGCGTCAGTATGGATCAGGCAGCTGACAGGCCTGCGTGGAGCAAGAGAAATATGCTGAGTGATTATTACAATCTCACACAGACAAGCCGGTTAAACGCCGTCTGTCACTCACACACGCACAGACTCCACTCATCATCACTGCAGCCACCATTGTGACACAGTGGATATATATTTGTATTTATTTTGCTAGTGATTAAGTGATTTAATTAATATTTTATTTAACTACACTTACATTGTTGTTTGTACAAAACTTTGCTAGAGGCCTATAGGTTTACATGTGAATGTAATGTCCATGCAGATCTACAATTTACAAAATGATCTAACAAATTTTACCAAAAGTTACAGTAACACACTACCATTCAGCAGTTTGGGGTTAGTATGTTTTTTTCTAAAGAAATTAATACTTTTTATTCAGCAAGGATGCATTACATTGATTATAAATGACGGTAAAGATTTTTACATTGTTACAGAAAAAAATCTATTTTAATTCAATGCTGTTCAGTTGAAACTTTGTTTATCAAATAATCCACAAAAATGTTAATCAGCAACTGTTTTCAACATCAGTAGTAATAAGTGTTTGTTAAGCAGCATATTAGAATGTTTTCTGAAGGATCGTGTGACACTAAAGACTTTATTGGCTGCTGAAAATTCAGCTTTGCCATCACAGGAATAAATTACATTATAAAATGTATTAAAACAGAAAACAGTTTTTGTAAATCGTAATAATATTTCACAATAGTATTGTTTTTGATCAAATAAACAGCCTTGGTGTGTCAAACATCGTTTCAAACATAGCAGTGGTTAATTTCCAACTGGAAATCTACTGAAAATCTCATAAATTACTACACTGAAATATACCGAATATTAACAAACAAAATTTGCATCAAAAGTATCTAATGCAAAACTTTTGTTAACTTTTTAAAGAAGATTTAGATATTTAAATTAACCTAAAAAATCTAATAAAATTGCTAGATCACGATATATTTATGAATCTCATGATATGCCTTGTTACATTTTCAAAATCTTATTGTGAATGTTTGTCTACACTTAATGCGAATGAGTTCTCAGTTTACTGTAAGTAGTTTATAACCTCTTGTCAGGGTGAGAATTCAGTTCTGATGTGTTATAAGGTCATCTGTATATGTGTGTGTGAGAGACAGTGAGCATGTAGGAATGATGGATGAGTGTGTGTCAGCTCAGAGAGTGTGTGATTAATTAGACTGGGCTTGTGTGGGTGGCCACGGCCTCTTGAGAGCGGAGGATCAGTGCTTGTTTAAAATGTTCCCAATCAACCCTTATTGATCCTCTCCCAAAGGGGGCCAATATATTGTCAGTGAGGAAAGAGTGTGTGTGTGTGTGTCCATGTGTCATGTGCTACAGTATTTGCTTCAGAATTAAATGTAAACGTATATTTATGCATTCAGATGTTCTCAACTAGGGGTTGTGACCCATACATGGGCCAAAGGTCTGTTCAGATTGTGCACAGAACAGAAAAACAATGCTAGGTCCAAATAACAAAATGATACTTGTCTTCTATTTGTGCATAGGTAAAATGGCAAAATTAAATATGCATCAGACAGTATTTGAGTGCAAATTGTTGAAGCAATTAAAATTAGACATGCTAACATGAATAGGTTTCATGAAAGGTTTCAAACTATGTAAATAAAAGGAAACAAAACTGGCCAAAACTAATTACTATGATAATTTGCAGTGTGACCACAATGTGTTTTGTGCTGAATGAGTATATTATAATGTATATTTTTATTATTAAATAAATTATTAAATTGCATACTCTACCACTCAAAAGTTTGGGGTCTGTTGATTTTTTAAAAAAGAAACAAATGAATTCTATTCAGCAAAATGGATGAAGTCATTTACACTGTTAGAAAAATTTTCAAATAAAATCAACTTTCTATTAATCAAAGATTCACAGTTTCACAAAACTTCACAAAAGCATTGCATTATAAGTCAAATGTCCAACTGTTTTCAACATTGTTAATAATAATAAACGTTTCTTGAGCACCAAAATCAGCATATTAGAATGATTTGTGAAGGATCATGTGACACTGAAGACTAGAGTAATGGCTGCTGAAAATTCCCAGGAATAAATAAGTTTAAAAATATATTTAAAAAGATAACAAATATTTTAAGTTGTAATAATATTTCAAAATATTAATGCTTTGATCTTTTTCTTTTTTCTCTTGTTTTTACTGTATTGGGTTGCCATTTGATGGCCAATGTAAAACCAGTTGAGAACCACTGATCTGGTGCACCATGACTCTACCATGATCTTTAGCATTTGAGAGTTTTGAGAGGCCATCTGTTCCACTTATTAATTCTCTCTATGGTGCCACCATGTGGTCATGGTAGAGTGGAATCATGGGAAATGAGGCCCCTGATAATCCTTAGATTGTAGTAAGCATATACATGACCATTGTTCCAAGATTATTTTCAGTCTTTGATGATAAATCTCTGAACCTTATGTTTTATTTTGCAATTTATCCCATCTGGAGTTCTGTAAAACAAAAAAAAAAACATTTATATTATTGATCAATCCATTGATGATGAGTGATTATTATGATTGATACTTCACCGTCCAATGAAAATATTTTCTGTCTTCCTCTTCTGTGGTGGACCACATTTAAAATTTGCTAATTTAACATTCTGGAAGAGGATTCTGGATTTGTATGTGTTGCAACAAAGAGATTTTTCTTGTAGTTTCTGACCTGTAGGGGTCTTCTGTGAGAAATGGGGTTGCATTAATGTACCTCACTTACCCCCTCTTTATTTCTTGCCATCACTATCTTTCTTTCACTCTTTACCCATTCTCCCTCCCCCTTTCCTTTTTCCTAACCCTGGAGAGCCACTTTGTCTTGCCCTGATTCACGTTTTTTGAAAAGGTTGAACGTTGTCAGACGCCGCCCGGGCCTCTTCCCCAGCCCCCATTCGTCAGGCAGGCACTTAAGTGAAATATTATAAATAATCTACAGTATTGAAATCTTTTATCAGCTGTGTCACTTTCATTATTCAATAAGCGATTAGTAACAGTCTCCCAATTTAGCCATTAAGCACTTGTGCGTGGGGCCGGGGAGTGCTGTCACACCGCGGGCCTGCTGAGGGATAAGGCTGTCAGCTCCTCTGTTATTCATGAGCTCCACCAGCCAGGTACTGCGTCCATAGTGTTTTATATAACACACACTGTCACGGTCAGGTACTGCATTCAGTGTGTCTTATAGAACACTCACACACAAGCCGCTTTTCCATCACCCTTCAAATTGCACAAATTGAAATTTGAATTGAAAATACAGCCAATGGAAACAACGTCAATTTCGCAAAAAGTTTTTACGCTCGCATGCAGTGGTTTTTCAGGCAATTCGAAAAAGGAATATTTCGCAAAACTGCAATGGAAACCGTTTTTGCGGAGTTACAGGTCACCGGACGTAGATGGCGCGGTATGTTTGGACGGAGAACGAGACAGTGCTTTATTAAAATCCATAAAAGACAAAAGACTTATGGGAATACTGGATTCTAAACCACAAAGAAATGCCACAATCAAGACCTCGAAGCAGATATGAGGTAGCCTGGTCCTATACCAGACTCTGGTACATTTCATTTATACAGAGAGTCTGGCCACTCCCCATTGACAAGCCTTAACTTCCTTGAAGGCAGGTACTCTGTTGAAGTTTAAAACTATTGGATCTGCCTAGAGCCACTCTGGATCTGCCATAACCAATTGATAACGTTTGGTCGTGACCCTAACCCTGTGGGGTGAAGGGCCACAACATCATGGCCACCAACAAAACTCAGCAAAGATTGTTCTTGCTCCGGCTTTACCTTCTGG